ATATATATATATATACACACACACAGATCCGTTATAAAAAGTTAAAATTTATCAAAATGTCTGCATACACTTACAGATCATACATGAGCCATCCATAATCAAGAGAAATGTAAAAAAAGTAAAGATGGTATACTAAATCATAACTGCATACAATTAACTGTACTATTGTGATGAGCTCAAGTGTCACAAATATCTCCTTGAAACACGGAGTGAAGTGGCACTAATCATTTCCAACTGGGCCACTGATCTCTCTCAGATACAGTGACTCATGTCCGTAAGGAGGAGGCAACTGAGAAAGGATTATCTGATCCCAGAAGTTTAAAACCAGTTTGGGCAACATAATGAGACTCTATTTAAAAAAAGAAAAAGTTTAGCCAGGCATGGGGGTGAGCACCTGTAGTCCTAGCTACTGGGCAGGCTAAAGCAGGAGAATCACTTGAGCCCAGTTCAAGGTTATAGTTAGCTATGATTATGTGACAGTACTTCAGCCTGGGTGACAGAGTGAGATCTTGTTTCTAAAAAACTTAAAGATAGGGCAGCGCCTGTGGCTCAGTGGGCAGGGTGCCAGCCCCATATACTGAGGGTGGCAGGTTCAAACCTGGCCCCAGCCAAACTGCAATAAAAAAAAAAAAATAGCTGGGCATTGTGGCGGGTGCCTGTAGTCCCAGCTATTTAGGAGGCTGAGGCACAGGAATCACCTAAGCCCAGGAGTTGGAGGTTGCTGTGAGCTGTGTAAGGCCACGGCACTCGACCGTGGGTCATAAAGTGAAACTCTGTCTCTATGTAAAAAAAAAAAAAAATTAACAAAAAACTTAAAGATAAACATAAATACAGTAGAAACTCCATAGTTGACCACCTCCTTAAGTTGACCTAAATTTTTACAGACTGGACAGACACCACATGTAAGTATTAGCACAGGAAGTCCAGTTCCCTTGTAGTGAACCTCTCCATGTGTTGACCAGTCGTTACAGTCCCCTGAGGAGTCACCTGACTTAAAAAGTGAGGTCTTCCAGGTCTGGTGTATCTTCATTTTGTTTAGTGCAATATTATAACCTTGAGTAACCCACAGGCCCTACGAAATGCAACTAGTGATGCTGGAAATGCTCCCAAGAAGCAGAGAAAAGGTATGACAAGAAAAAGCCAAACTGCTAGGTAGGCTCCATGGATCAAGGTCTATAGCTGCAGTTTCCCACCACCTTAAGATATACGAATCCAGTGTAAAGATTATTGTATAAAAGGAAAAGAAAATTCATATAGCTCTTGCTGCACCTATGCCAGCAGATGTGAAAACTTCATAATTTTTTCAAAACGCAGCTCATGTGAGTGCAAGGTTGTTTATGGCCACGAAGAAGAGGGCCCCACTAACCAGGGAGGCTCTGGCCTGGGTTTGGGTCTGTGTTTATGCTCTGCTGTAGATTTTCTCAGTGATGTTTAGGATTTTTAATGTTTTAAAATTTAAAATAGGCTCGGCGCCTATAGCTCAACCGGCTAAGGCGCCAGCCACGTACACCTAAGGTGGCGGGTTCGAATCCCCAGCCCGGACCCGCCAAACAACAA